TGGGGGGGGGGGGGGGGGGGTGTGCGATAGACTTACCTCCACGTGGTGAACCCTGGGCAACGTATACTCATACGGCAAAAAGTCTATTTATCGGCAGGTGACTTCTGATTTCAAACTACCATGACCGCATTGTATGTCAAATTCGACTTCTTCCATAGTTCTCACCTCCCCTTTTTTTTCTACCATTGTGTCTGTCTTTTACAGATTTGAAACACTCTTCTGTTCACTCCCCCCTCCCTCTCTGCTTTTTTCACTTTGATGTTTCTTCCCTTAGCCAACTAAATGGCTAATGACAACTATCAAAACGCCTGCCATTTGCTATAAATAAATACATATTTGTGATTGGTCTGAATTCACCATCTGCCACCCCCTCCCTCACCTTCGCTCAAACGTGCGCACTGTAATTCGATTGGCTGAAACAGAACCACAGAGAATAATAGATCTTATAGTATTTTATTTATCCAAAAATTGGAAATTTGGCTATTTTCTAAATTTCGAATTAAAAAATATGCATTCTAAATTTCTTCTTTACAGGTTGCAGAAGTATCAAAATAATTCGTCTAGTTATTCTGGAAGTATTTCTACATCAACGTCTTCAACTTCAAATGTCTTCTCCAGATTTCGTTCCATTCGAGCGAATAACACACCTGCACATACTCAAACACTTCTGTCGGATAGAAGCGCAAACCCTCGTCCATCCAATTTGCCAACTATGGCCAAGCCGAGAATGGATAACTTTTACTCAGGAAGCAGTAAGATATCTTATTTGCGCTCGAATTATACGTTTGAATGCGATGATAGTAGCCTGCATTGAGAAAGTTAATCGATGTTCTTTTCCAAAAGGTGGTTGCATGCAGATACAAATAAGATCTGCAATAGGCTGCTCAAACGGAGATGATAAATAAAAGCTATTTTTATGGAATCATTTTCGCGTTATCAAATAGAGTCTAACTCTAGCTCCTTTCATTTTAATAGGCATAAAACAGCCATCAGTGGGAACGAGTTCAACGTCTGCATTTAAGCCTTATGACACTCTAAAAGGCGGAAAGAATGGTGGTTCAGCATTACTGTATGACTGGAAGGGTCTTGAAGGTCTTTCTGAAGAAACGGAACCATCAGATTTGACGATTGTCAGCGGGTATGTCTTTTAGATTTACTAATCTATGTACCTTCAATCAAACGCTATTTTTCTACTCACTTACAAATAAATGGATTATTTTAAGTGAATAACAGTATAATTAGAACATATTATTACTTTAACCTCGATTTTCAACTGTATAGTTACAGAAATTAGTTTCCTTCTTTAATTAAGAATGGTTTAAATTGGATTGCGCAAATTGACCTAAAAATTTCCGTTTTTTCAGACACCTAACTGCTCTAACTGAGCACAGTATTGAGAATGAGGATCGCCTCTACTTCGGTTCTGGAAATCAGCAACCCAATCTACCAAATTTTACGGACCTTTGTCAACTAGTTGGAATCGATCTAAGTCCGGGTTCCAGTAAGTTAAAATTATTTTTTCATCTATATTGAACTATTTTTTAAATAAGTAAATGCGACGGGAGAGGACATAAGACTGGTCAACATCCACGTCGGCCCTTCAGTTCGCGAGATTTGTATGCATCGATGCACGTTCGCTTGTGTGATTGTCAATTAATGTCAATTATCTTGTCAATTCACGTCGGCAACATGGATGTTAAAATTAAAGCATCTCAAAAACTCGGCTTTAATTTACCTTTCCTGTATTCCAGTTTTGTTAATACTTTTTATCAAGGGCCGGAAATTTTCTTTGTATTAATGTAATTTCACATTCAGACATCTCATTTTCTTCAATTAACTAAATTTTACTTAAACAACAGATCATATTTTTACATTTTTGCATCACTGAAGGAGTTTTAATAATTATTTTTAATGTTTTAAAAACCCAGGTTCCTTCCCCGTCGATCTTTCCATGGACTCTTCAGGCAACAACTCTAAACAACTAAAAGCGGAGATACCAGGACGTGTTGCAACAATTCAATTTGTCAAACTCTACGAACAGCATTGTGCTGAGGTGTACGAGGCAATTTTAACTCCACAATTGGAGAAATTACGAAACATTTGGCAGAGATTTTGGAGCCCTTGCGATGTCTTAACAAAAGATTTGGTAACTAAGAAAATTATAGTACTTGGCCAGATTGCATGCGATCATTCACTTATTCTTTGCTTGCAGGGACAGAAGGATCCTGGCACTAACATCCATACTAACTCAGAAACGCGACTAAACAAAATGCAGCTTGCATTGATAAATAATCGAAAGAGCCTTTGTCTGTTTGTGGAAATAGCAGATAAAGCACTTTATCAAACCCTCCTTGAAATTATTGTCAGTGACAGCCTAAAGTCCTTACCGCCGTCCTTATTGCACACGGTTAAAATGATGATCAAGCGTGTACAGGTGAGTTTAGTGGTATTTTTCTTTTCTTGAAAAATTACTTCTTACAAAACTTAATCAACTTTAGCCAACAGCCTCTTGCCCGCTTGAATTCATAGAGGGTATGCAGATGCAAGGTTTTTTTAAACTCACAGCATTTGGGGAAGTTTGTCGAAAGTTATTCTCTCAAAACATTGTATTGGCATTCCCAGTTGGGATATTAGTGCGATTTGTTTCATCCGAGTCGCTCTTCAAAGCTTTATGCTTATATAACATATAACATTTTTTAAAAGACACAAGAAATCAACATTACAAGCAACGGATAGAAGTCAAATGAGGGAGTAAATACTGTCAGTCTTGACAGTCTTTGATGGATAGTTAGGACGCATGCAAAGGAGTTACTCGTATTAGTAGAAGACCAATGAAGCAATAATTACACCGAAATATTGCCGTATAGCATCCAAGTGATTGTTCGGCTTAGCTTAGAAACTTTTTCTCACAATGCACTAATTGTAATGAGCTTGATGAATGGTAGGAGCATTGTCGATTAGGTATTTCAGATTTGTAAATTGTTTGAGGAAGCGAGGGAGAGAGAGAGAGTTTTATCAAATCTAAATTTTACAAGTAATAAACCAAATTCTTTTCTTTTGTAAAAATATATTCCACCTCTTATATTAGCTATGAATTTAACCAGACCTCATGGTTTCAATTCTGAATTCTTTTCAGTAGATATCTGTGTTGCTGGCAGACGAAGATTTAATCATTTACTAAATACGTTTCAGTATAAGCCTATGAGAATTTTTTTCTCATAACTGTTTTTTTAACAGCAATTAAGATGCAGCAATATCCGCATTTCTTCCCTCATTGTAGCACTGCTTACGTTCAGCTATTCGTCACTTAAGTCCAACTCTAATTAACTGCAAATTAACGGCAATCAGCGGGTTTATAAAAGGCCTACGGCGCGTTATTGGTCTAGCAAATCTCAGTCGTGCTGCTGATCAAGTCTTCAATTCACCTGAAAAGCTAGAACAAATGCGCTTGGACATTCAGAAACTGGATCTGGCAAGTATTGAGGTAATGGAATGCAATGTGAATGAAAATTACCTCTTCTTTTATTCATTCATGTGATGTAATACTGAATATAACAATATAATGCCTATCCGCTACGCGTCATAGCCACAAATAGTCGTCTCTTTAGACTGACTGTTAAATTCTGCATAGCTATCAGACAATGTTTATGTTTATCAAGTTTTAAATGTGGTATTTTAAATAGGCGCAAGGATCCTGGGCTAGTGATTGTCTGCCCTCCTGGACACTTTTTAGTGAACGCAGTCTGCTTGCCAATGTCGCTATCCTTTCTACAACCATTCACGAAATTTCAAATAGGAGTAATCAAATCTCAATGAACAATTCTTCTCGAATGAAAATCCCTTCCTTCCCCAATTTGACCAGCAATGATTCAATACAACCGATGAGTCAGCTCGAGTCATCTATGGGTTTCCCACTGACTATGGTGCAGCTGCATTCTGAACTTCAGCATTTACTATCTCCAAATGCTACATTGGCTTGTTTGGTCACCTGGCTTGATAGAATTGTACTGAGAGGGTTGGACGAACATGTAATCGGACCTAAAAGAGCCAATGCAGCAAGGCAACTCATGCTTGTCTGGAACTATTACAGGTAATTATTGCTCTCATTTGTAAATATCGACAATAATGGAAGTGAAGAGGATGAATGTACTTGGCCTTTAGTTCACTACTCATCCGCGAATTAACTCTCCGTTCGGCGCCAAGTTTTAACAGTTGTTATCTCATACGAATGCTATGTGATGAGTACCTGAGCTTCCGTTTGGAGCAAATAGCAGAATCACCTCTGTTGTCTATACCCTCGCGAAGCAGTGCAATCTCCGTTGGGCCTCACAGACCCGAAGGTTGTGTTTGCTGCAAAGGTTCATCCAGCCCTAACATGCAGAATAAGAATATCACAGAGTCTGAAGTGACTTTAACGAGTACTGCAGGAGAAGGGCCAAATGAAAATGAAGCCGATATTGCAGCGGCGACACTGCTAACTACATTTAATAGTAGGGATGAAGAGGAAGAGAATTCAAGAGACCTTGAAGCAGAATCACCATGGGAACAAGCTACTTCAAGCAACTGTGTGAGTAATCGGCTTCTGAATAAAATATCTGCCTTATAAAAATGACCAAATTGTTATTTTTGAGGACTTTTATTTATAGTTTACCTACTTTGATGGATGTCAAACAACCAAATTGCCTTCTATGGTTCTGGCTGGCTCTGACTCAATGTGGACATCGTTTTCTTTCCCTGGAAATGCCCTAGGTATCCAGTCATTCACGGATGAAGATGCTATTGCTATGAACACTATGGAATCTACACAAACAACGCCACCTTCTGACACGCATGTCCTTCCACAGATGAATATGTTGCCCGTCTTTCCTGATCAAATTCCGATAAAGCCTTCTCCTCCATCTCAAAGCATAATGAATGTCAATGAGGGAGATGTAAGTAGAGTAAAGAAAAGAGGAAATGAAAAAGAAATCGGCGGTTTAGTGGGGAATCCCATAAATGAAATAGCGCATAAGGCAGGTTAAAATGCACCATTTAAATGTCCTGTTTTATATCAATCACACATAGCTGAAAGCTTGTGTTGCTTTAAGAATGACTTATTACTATTTGAATTTAAAGAAACTGGGTTAAATAAGAAAGTTAAATATAATCCTTGGCCTAATAGCATTAGAATGAAAACATATAAGGGTAATGGCAGCCGTAATAAAAACGAATATAGGCTGACCATATATTTTTGGTGTCCCACCAAAACTTAAGTGCCAAATTTCTCAAGGAAAATATGGTTCAACATAATTATTATTATTATTGGTTCATTTTCTCTTCAGGCCAATCGAAAGTCGGTTTGCATTACCATCGGAAAAGAAGAAAGTCCTGATTGATTTGTTTACTATTTTGGAGTGGGTCTTTTGTGCATTGGACGCTTTGAGACCTCGCGAATTTCAACTGGCATTTCTTTCCCTACGGAATCTCATGACCTTATTTGTCTTACTTGAGTCTCTTTTGCTATTTGTTTGTTATGGTTAATAAAGTTATTAGAAGCCATGGGCAATTATTTGTTCAGAAATAAGATTTTAAATCAAATGCTTGTCAACTTCTTCTTTAGGAATTCTTTCCTATTCTGGAATTCAAAATATACCTAAGCAGAATTTATTATATGAATACGATAATGCAAAGCAGCAGAGAATTTAACATCTTAGAAATTAAAATCATGCTTTATTGTGGATTTAGTGTAGGTTTTTGTTATTAAGCACAATAATGCTTAAAGAAGTTAGCAGTAGTCAATGCTAACCAAAGCCATCGTTTAGGGCCATTTTGTTCCTTGAGAGTGTTATTAAAGGATTTAGGAATGAACATCAATAAACAGCTAAGTACAAGATCTAAAGGTTTGGAAATGAAACCTATACCATTGAATAGTAAGTAAATAGACCTAAGAGAGTTTTTTAGAAAAAGTTTATTGCATTAGAAGAAACCGTACTGTTAGAAGAAAAAACCACATTAACGCTTATTTGGATTAAATAGTGCTAGGCTTTTACTATTTATAAAGTTTCAACTTGGGATTCAATTTTCGAATGGTGCGTAAAATAGCGTAGCTATTTGTGTAAACATTTGAAAACTCACAAAGGTATTCGATATTAATACTGCACGTGATTGGTTATTCTTTTGTTTTATTTTGGATGCCCTATTCCAAGAGAAGGAAAGAAATATTAAAGCGATCTACTACTTTAATATATATCTTGAAAGTCAACAGATTGAAATGAAACAAAAGTGTAATAATTATCGCCAAATGTGGTTCAGCACATTTTGAATGGCATGCTCATTTAATAAACATTAGTGTGATAAGTTTGAGTAAACTGTTGCGAATTACTACTATTCGTGTTAAAAGCAATTATATCAGATGGGGTTCAAAAGAATTGCACAGGTATTGTAACTGAATATATTTATTACGGATTAGCCAAATAGGGTCTCAAGGAAGATGACAGTAGGGAGTTCTATTTTGAACTGCCATAAGACTAGGTCATGATAAAGTATGAATATGCGCAAATAATTACTGAATTCATATAACGCATATAGATACTATTGCTTTTGCCGTTACTGGATGTTTCTAGTGGGTTTGAATTCGATGTATATTGGATAATATAGAAGTCAAAGTATTGCAAAAGGAACAGATAACGAAATGCGAAATAGTTGATAAACGCAGATTTAACTCGTTTTTAATTGGCTAGCCACTTATAGTATAACCTACTCGAGCCGACGTGAGTTTTACATTACTTATTTCATTAATAAAATATTATTTGTGAGTTCTAATTATTAAAAGCAATCATGTATTTTGAATTGAATCAGTATCTACGACTGTACTTTACTATTTCTTACATTTTTATCAAGATATTTAATTTTTGCAAAACAGCTCAGACTTTTGTAATTAATTACGATCTTTTTGGGTATTCATTGAATACTAAACTATCAATAATTGCAACTTTTAATTAACGTGTCTGCCTGTTCTTTTATACATTTTTGTCAGTTGCATTTGGACCTCAAACTACTTGTTGGACGTGTACCATTTTTCCTCTAAGGCCGTGTGAACACTTTCGCTATTCCCATTTTATATTTTCCAATAATTTTATGACTCTCTATCGGTCACTGCACTTGCCGTAAAATTATCTGTTTTCATAATGGTAATTTGTGGATTGCATGCATTTTTCCTCTTCCGATGTTAGTCTCGTGACGACTTGCTAGACCGAGTTCTTTCACTACTCTCGGCTCACTCCTGGCTATATACATTCAAATGGACTGAGCTCCTGTCATGCCCAAATTTCAACCCTATTGAAGCATGTCCAAAAGATTGGTCAGACGCTTTGTGCAACGGAAGAATAACTGATCTGCAAGTAAATAACTTTTTTTCTTAAATTTATTTTTGTGTTTAACATCACTTTATTCATTGGTCATCTCCTTATTAGCAATTTATTATCAGCGGTCAAACTCCATCGTCTTGGCCGGAGTCCCTTAAAGCATTCGCTTCTCAATGCTTGACCTTGACTCAAGAACTTATCCGTTCAGCAACCAACACACCTCCTATAATCGATTCATCTGCATCTCAGAGTGCATCCAATGGCGTTTTGAGTCTTAATAAGTCAGCAGGTTATCTGTTCTACAACATTGAACCGGCGAAGGCAGCTCCACGAAAAGTTAAACAGAAAAAGCATCATGAGACTGAAATCATGTCTGCATTTCTCTGTGATCTCCTCCAAAATTCAGCGATAATTGCCTGTAATCCTTGCGATAGTGATAAGATGAGCACTTTTCAAACTGCTCCTTTCGAGTGTCCAATGGATTCACAAAACATGCAACTTTATCGGATTGAGCTTTCCTTATTACCCATGGCTTTCGTTGACCTTGGTTCTGGTCTCGGTCATCTTCCACGACGAGTAATGCAACGTCTTGGAACTAACTGCTCAAATATTCGGTGTATAGCCGTGGAAGCCGATCCTAAACTTCACTCTACTGCTTTGAATATGGAATCTAAAGAACAAGAACCTAAAAAGCGACTTATTCGAGTTTTATCTCGAATTGAAAAGTCTAATATCGACCAGTTTAAAGGACAGTAGGTTATAGCATTTTGTTGGGTAATTTCTGTTTCATTTTTCTGATCTTAATCAAAGTGTTCTTTTCTCACAGACTTTCAGAGGTACTAAATGCTGATGATCTGGATGGAGGTTATATTCTCTGTGGACTTCACTGCTGTGGCGACTTGAGTGAAGCAGCTCTGAAATTGTTTCACGTGGATTCAAATGCACAGGGCATTGTTCTTGTTGGTTGCTGCTACCATAAAATGTCCCTTCGAGATTCTGGGTGTCAAAACTTTTCTGTATGAATCAGTTTCTACTTTTTTTGCTCTAATCGCTTTATTTCTGAACAGGCTTTAGGTATTATAGCTAGAGACCATTAAATTTCATAAAATTAGAATTTTTCAATGATTTCATGATCTCATTAGGTAGGTCATTTCTAAACTGTTTAAAATTACTAAAGCTTTAGGGAAACTTGATTATCTTCGTCTACAGTTTCTTAACTCTCAAGAATTTGTGGCCTTGAGGTTCGCATGATGCTTTTTGGTCTTTGCTTTAACTTAAGCTCTCAGTTCTATTGTGCCTCTAGTAGCATTGAAACAACTGATTTCTGGATTTCATAGTGTGTCAAATAATTTGGATCGTTTGTTAACCTTTGAGCATATAGATCTCTCTGCACGATCCTCTATTTCAATCATTTTGCAATCTGGCAATAAGATTTTAGAATAGGTCTATTTTTCACCATGTGAGAAACCTCATTACAGTCGGGATGAGAATGCTACCGGAGTTTTCCATGCTAGCAAGACGATCGGATTATGATTCTATGTGGCTAATTGGTCATGGGCAATTTTTTTAATCCTGCTCATTTTGAGAAAGGATGACCATTTTGTTGAAACCGTTGTTAAGAGTGTGAGCATGCTTGTAGCACTTCCTCGGATAAAATGGCGATAATAATTTTGCTTTAAGCTTGCTAAGTGTGGCAGGATACGAATCCTTAATTCAAGGGTTACGTTTGGGAGAGCTCTATTATTAATTCTATTGTTTTGTTAATATATTGGGTTGGCAACTAAGTCATTGCCGTTTTGTTGACAGATTCACTCTATACTTTCTTTTGTTTTGTTAACGTGGCCAGAGCATCTAACCTATATTTTTTTCTTACTGTTTGGGCTTCTAAGTTAATTAGTAAAAAATTTTTTTTTTTAGTTCTTTAGTTTTGTTTTTATCCCAATTTAAAAATGAAAGAACAGGATGTGCACTTCCGACACATTTTATTGTATTACTTCCGAAAAGGCAAGAACGCATCGCAAGCACAAAAGAAGTTATGTGCCGTATATGGAGATGAAGCCGCCTTAAAAGAAAGGCAGTGTCGAAATTGGTTTGAAAGATTTCTTTCCGGTGATTTTTCACTGAAAAATTCACAACGATCTGGCCGCCCAGTCGAAGTGGAGAAACCCATATCAAGGCCATTGTCGATTCAAATCGTCACAGCACAACACGAGATATTGCAGAGAAGCTCAATGTGTCGCATACATGCATCGAAAAAAAATGAAAAACCCATGGTTATGTCAAGAAACTTGATTTATGGATCCCTCACCAGTTAAAGGAAATTCATTTGACGCAACGGATTAGCATCTGTGATTCGCCGCTACTGAACGCAATGAGAATGAGAATGATCCATTTCTGAAGAACCTAGTTACTGGCGACGAAAAGTGGATAGTTTATATTAATAACAATGTTACTCGCAAGAGATCATGGGTGAAGCAAGATCAACCAGCCCAAACAGTATCAAAAGCAGGAATTCACCAAAAAAAGATTATGCTGTCAGTCTGGTGGGATCACAAAGGAATTTTGTATTTTGAACTCATGCCGCAGAACCAAACGATAAATTCAAATGTGTATGTTGAAGAACTCGAAAAACTGAAGGATGCAATTGAAGATAAGCGGCTGGCATTATCAAATCGGAAGGGTGTTGTTTTCCATCATGATAACGCAAGGCCCCCGCACACAGCTTTGGTTACTCGGCAAAATTTATTGGAACTGGGTTGGGATGTTTTGTAACACCCACCATATAGCCCTGGCCTTGCCCCTTCGGATTACCATTTGTTTCATTCCATGCAAAACTCTTTAAATGGTAAAATTGTTAACAACGCGGATGATGTCGGATCACACCTAATTCAGTTTTTTAATAGCAAAGACCAGACATTTTACGAAGGGGGAATTTTTACTCTGCCAGAACGATGGAAAAAGGTCATCGACAAGAACGGCCAATATCTAATTGAAAAAAGTTATATTTTTAAACATAAAGTCCGAATTTGCCTTCTTATTTGAAATGGGCAATGACTTAGTTGCCAACCTAATATTTCCATATAAGCATCTTCATAGACCATTTTCATCTCTTTGAAATCCATACCATTTAATGGGCCTTTATTTTATAGAGCTTACTGAACCACAAGCTACCTAGCTCTCCTTGGACTTGAATTCAGAATTGGGCAAGAATGTATTGATTCGAATATTTCCTTGTCATGAACAGAATGCCTTTCTCGAGTACTTGGTTTTTATTTCAATGCCTGTATCTGATAAAAAATTGCTTCAATGCTCTTTTTCTGGTTACCGAAGAAACCAATGGAGGAGAAAGAGGTCTTCGTTTTGATCGTTAGAAGTTGTCTGTCTGATCGTTAGAAAGGGGTTAAGTGGCAAAGGGTCATAATGATTCATTCTTACCAAGATATTGCAGTATCATTGGATTAAAGTGCTTGGCAGGTTTCCCAATTTTTCATTATTCTCCTTGAGATTAAGCTTCATGTGACAAATTAAAATATTCTCTTCTTAGAATGTGCTTTCCTGATATACGATTTTCACTTATCAAGAAGGAAAATGGAAAAGAAAGCGTAAAGAAAATAATTAAGCATGTTTTCTATTTTTCAGTTTCCTCTCAGTTTGAAGTTGCGTTCTGCTCTACAACGTTGCCCACCCTCAGCTGAAAAGTCTCTAAAAATGACCGTAGCACTGCGGTTAGCATGTCAATGGTCTCCTCAGCAGTGGTCACACTGGACTCCCTCTGAAATCTATGAACACCGGGTTCGGGTTTTCATTCGATCCCTTCTTGAAGTTCACCTCAACCCTCGTTCAGCCCCGTTGGAAAATATTTCTTCACTTAAACGCCTTACACGTCTTCCTCCTGTTATTACACTCCCAAGTCAATCAAATCTGAATTCTATTAAGCAACCACTACCAGAGCTGAATGACCACTGGCGAAGTCTGGAAGCGATCGCAAAGTCCGGTAGTACTGCACGCGTAGATGTAGAGGAGTTGATTTGGTTGACAAAAGGTGGCGACAAAGTATGGGATCTTTTGCCGGGGCTGACAGCATTGCAGCAGCTTATTCAGCCCCTACTTGAGGCATTAATACTTGCGGATAGGCTGTGGAGTTTGGAAAGCTGTTCGGAGGTTGGATATGCATCACTTGTGAGGCTATTTGACCCTTTCCAATCACCGAGATGTATGGCGCTTGTGGCTGTGAAAAAGACTGTCTGATGGAGTTTTCATGAATGTTTAAGTTTGTAGAGGACTATTTTCGAAATGACCCCATTTGAGTACTTATTAATAAAACAATTTACCCATTTTGATATTTTGTTTTGAAATTGCTATAAATGTACCCCCCCCCCACCCTTGGGGGAAGC